AAAAATTACTTCTGAGAGGTTTTAGAAATGTGTTCTATTCCTTGCTAATATTAGCTATAAATATGTTGGAGTAATTTAGAATGACAGATTAACCTTTTATTCCACGAGATTCTAAGGAAATTGAACACAGGACAGGCAGTGTTGATGGAGGAGGGAATGGGTGGTGAGGAACAATTGTTCTAGATGTGAGTAGGCTTGGCTATATATGGAGCTTGGGGGCTTGGAAGGAAGCCAAAGAGAGCATATGGAGATGCACTGGGAGAATAGAAAAAGAGGATCAGTTGTAGACACATAGAAAGATGGTGCCAAGGAAAGAACAAAGGATATGGCATCTGAAGGATCTAGGTTCAAGTCCTACCCCTTCCATATGTTAACAATATGATTTGGGGAAATTACCTTTATATTTCTAGATCCAATACCCTCTTCTATATAATGGGCATATTAGCAATAGCCATTTAGCCTCGTAAGACAATTGTTGGGATGATGAAACAGATATGAAATGAAAGTGCTCTTTACGTTTTCTATTATTCTTTATGTAATCATCCCTATTTCTGGACCACATTCTTCCAGCAGCTTCTAAATGTTCCACTGTTGAAGAAGGATACGCCACATGTAGGAACAGATCGGAAAGTTTCAGCAGCTAAGATAAAAATGAATTAACCAAGGGAGAGATGGAAATTACAGTCTCAGGTCCCAAGATTATAAGGTGAAGAATACAAAGATTTCTTGGGCACTAGTGGCAACCTGTAATTTCTGTTAAGTGAAAGGGTTGCCTTGGATTTCAGAGAGCTGGAGCTTATTCCTCTCCCCAATAGGCATTGAATAAGGATCCCTAGGCTGAGACATGGCCCTGACAATTTGCTCAAGATTGTCTTTATTTCACAAAGGTGAGGAGTCACTGACAACAGGGGAATCTGAACTACATTTTTTCCTCCTCTATATGTTGAAGACAAATTTACTGTCTAGATGGCTCTCCAGTTTCAAACAAAAACCCTTTGAGCACCTCTTTCATGGAGACAGAGCAACAGGCTTAGAAGTAACGCAGCAAAGAATGTCAGTAAAGAAACTTAGAGACAAGAGACCACATGAAATGATAAAAGACTCCAGTAGGGACTTGCAAAAGAGAACGAAGATTCAATACTCGAGAACAGGACAAGAATGTGAAAGCATATTTTCAAAAAGAAAAAATGAATTGCATTTATGCATACTTGATCTAAAAGCATAGACTCTTAGGGAGATCAATGGAATGTTGTGGGTAGGGTAGACCATTCATAGAAACACAGGTTTAACCTCCCATCCATTGCAAAAATAAATCTTTTTTGCAGCATCTCAAGCAATGCTCACCCATCCTCTGCTTGGTCACCTCTAATGATAGAGAGCTCATTACCTTATAAATCATCTGCTGCTATACCTCTAAAGTTTAGACTGGTCTTCATTGTAATAAAGGTCAAACAGCATTCTGTAACCCCCCAGAGCCACAAGTCCTACTTTTGCCTTCTGGAGATCAGTGGAGAGGGCTTTATTTAACCCTTTATGCACATGACAGCAATTTTATCTATGAAGGCAGTTCAATTATTCTCCATTTTTTTTTCCTCGGAGTCAAAATCTAAATTCTTCTCCATTTATTTTGTGACTTAACTTATACCCTTCACTGCATTTGACTATCTGTCTCTTGATAGGCTCGAGATTTTTAATTCCCCTTTCGGTAAGGGGTTCTCTGAACATAATACTCCAGTTCCTCTACATGACTCATTTGTAGGGTGTTGGAAATACAGTTTCCATGATAGTTCACTCAGATATGATGAAACCAAATTGCCAGGAGTAGGATTAGCTATTTGTATTTTAAGACGCTTTCTTAGTGATTCTAATGTGCCCTGAATAAAACATCATACTCCAGTCTGAACAGTTCAGAGTAAGAATAAAAAATGTTTTCCATCATATATTTTTACAAGCTGTAATTCATTCTAGTGTTTAGCTTTCCTGACACTATTTTCATCCTGTTGTTTCTTTTTTCCATTTACACAAATATCACATAGTAATTAAAAATTCTAATATGACAGAAATACGTTAGGTAGAGAGTAGAAGTCTTTTGTATTTCTTCCCCTTACTCTGGGAAAACCACTGTATACATGCCCAGTTTTCTAAATTTAATAATTTATATGAACACACATACACACACATATACACACAAGTTCACACACACACATACATAATTTTTTTTGTGATCATACTAAGCATCTTGATTTACAACACCTTTTCACATAACAATACATCCTAAATTTTTTTCTACCTGAGCACTACTTTTCTAGGTTTAATACCACTTTGTGCGTTTTTACATTCTGTGCGTAAGTGGCGTTTTTGTTGCTGTTGTTCCTTGCCTTATTTTTCCTCATATCTTCTTCATTCCTGAGACTGATATCAGAGTTCTGTCTGTACAGAACTTATTTTTATTGCAATCATTTTGAATTGTTTTCAGAATTCAATTTTAGCCCCTCCTCACTATTAATGGTCTCTTTTTATAGACCCACTCTTTTCTTCTTTCTCCTTCCTTCCTTTCTTTCTTCCTTCCTTTCTTTTGTTCTCTCTAAAATCTGATCCCTAAGTGTATTGTTAACGTTTTATTTTTTTTTCTTAGTGAAAGGGATGAGAAAGATGGCAACATTCCCACGCTCCCAATTTCTCAACAGTTTTTCTATATAGATCAGATTTAAGGCCAGGATAGCTGTCAATCTGTATTGCCTGCTCATACTTGAGAGAATTTAAATTTAGTATGGCTGGGGAAGGATGTTTCAAGTAGTCTGCCTCCACCTGGGAAAGACTGGTAGAACACATCAGAAATAATCAGCCCTTTTTATCTCTACCATGTCTTGCTTCGGCACCAGTTTTAAATATAAGTGCAAATGACAAACGCGACCTGAGCCTCTGTCTGGACAAGAGGCCTCTAGTTGTTTCACCTGCTCTTCTGTGAGCTATGATGTCCAAGTTCATCTACAGGGGAAGAATGTGTTGACCTGATAAGCATATTCCTCTTCCCCGCCGCTGGCACCTATACATCCCATGTATTTTTGGGGTCCCTTTTGAACCAGTCATATTCTTCCACTTGCCTAAATATAAGTTCAGTTCTACATAGTTTCCATGGCACATATAACTTCTTAACCTGCAGATGGTACCACGCTTACAAAACCTTAATCCATGAAAATATTTTCCTTTGCTCAAAGATTTCTAGCTAAAATCAAAAACTGGCAACATGTAATTTTTGTAAAGATGTGGAATAACTGGAACACTCTTACATTGCTGGTGGAGATGTCAAATGGTACAACCACTTTGGAAAATTCTTTTGCGGTTTCTTATCAAGTTAAACATACATCTGCTTCATGGCTCACTCCTAGGAGTTTATCAAAGAAAAATGAAAATGTCCAAAGACAGTTTTATAAAAGAATGTTTGCTTCAGCCTAATACATAATGGTCCTAAGCTGGAAACAATCAATGATACAGAACAGTCCCAAGCCCATCAACAAGAAAGCGACTAAACAAATTGTGGTATATTCACAAAATGGAATACTACTCGGCAATAGAAAGGAAATAAGTACTAACAGTCAAAACAACATAGGTGAATATTAGAGATATGTTAAATAAAAGAAATCAAACACAAAACAATTCTGTTTGATTCCATTTTTATGAAATCCAAATACTGGCAGAAATAATCTATGATGATAGAAATCTGGTAGTGCTTGCAACAGGAGAGACTGACCAGAAAGGGACATAAAATTTCTGAAGAGATAGAAACATTCCATATTTTATTTTGGGGTGATGGTTACATAGGGTTTATAATTGTTATGACTAATTGAACTGAACACTTAAGATCTGTGCATTTAATAGTATATTCATTATATTTTAATTATATTGATCTATAAATTTATATTCATATTTATCTACGAGATTTCCAGAGATAGACTGATTGATGTTCAGCAAAACTGATGTGCTTGCTGTCTTTCATCTTCAAGCTTTTGTTCATGCTCTTTGCTCCCTGAGCAATGTTTGTCTGCTCCTCTGTTGCTTGGATAGCTCCCATTCATCCTGCTGGTTTCAACATGGAATTCTTCTTCTCAGAAGACTTTTCTGACCACAGATCATCTAGACTCCTTCTCTTGGCTCACCATGAAGCCTCTGTCAAAGCACATATCATCCCACATTGTGATTATCCACACTAGTGGTAGTTAATCATAACTGATGCAGGCTTTATAAGGCACAGGTTTTGCTTTGTTGTATTCTAAATCTGAAAACAGTCCCAGAATAGATGCTCAGAAATTATGTAATGATTGACTAAATGAAATCCAAGATTGATGATAGAGTCCTTGAACTTACACCTTTAAGTTAAAATTTTCACAAGTACCCCTAAGCATATTTAATGAAAGCATCCTTCTGACTGCACATTGAGAAACACTGCTTTAACATATTAGTGGAGAAATTCAGTGTGCATTTTGAGCCCACAATATCTTATATATCTTATAGCTTTCCTTACTAAGTTCGTCCATTTATTCTCTTGACATCCCATCACCTTATTCTTTTTTTGTGTGTGAGAAAGATCAGCCCTGCGCTAACATCTGATGCCAACCCTCCTCTTTTTTGCTGCGGAAGATTGGCCCTGGGCTATCCATGCCCATCTTCCTCCACTTTATATGGGATGCCGCCACAGCATGGCTTGACAAGCGGTGTGTTGGTGCACGCCGGGGATCCAAACCTGTGAACCCCGGCCTGCCACAGGGAAGCGCGCACACTTAACCACTTGCGCCACTGGGCCGGCCCCCCATCATCATATTCTTAATCACACAAAGCCAATGATGGGCAGGGTGACCATATAATTTATCATCAAATTTGGGAAATATTTGAATATAAAGAATATTACAATTACACCAGGACCACCAGGCATAAACTGGACAAACAGGAGCACAATTTTATTCTAATTATAGAGAAGTAGGGCACAGAACTTTCAGATAAGAATGAATACAGTAAGGATAATACTTATTTTTTTCTGTTTTCCAGATTTATCTTATGCATGGACCTTCAATGATAACCCCTTATATGTCCAAGAGGACAACAGGCGGTTTGTATCACAAGAGACAGGAAACTTGTACATTGCCAAAGTAGAACCATCAGATGTGGGCAACTACACTTGCTTCATAACAAACAAAGAAGCCCAGAGAAGTGTTCAAGGACCACCCACTCCATTAGTGCAGCGCACTGATGGTAAGATGAAAGTTATCTTGGGAATATACTTTGTCTGTGGTTCTTGAAGTCTGGGGAGATCTGTAGAGCTTTCTGCTTCCCTCTGTTTCAATGGAGCCACATCATCTATAAGTTGAGGTTCAATTCACAAATATGATGAAAATCAGGTATTATCAAAAATATAATAGAAAATTCTATAACTCACCCACATGGTACAGTATACACGATTCTAAGTATACTGTGCCACCTCTTCTCTGGCATTGGAGCAGATCATCTTTTCTTTGCTTAAGCAGTATTTTGTAAAAAACAATGTTTGTTTGGAGAGTAGGCCTGTGTGTGTGCACGTGTGGGTGCTGCCAAACTTATTAACTGAATTAATATATTTTCAATGAACGTATGATGCAGCTTCTCTTTGATGCCTCTTTCTTTTCCGTATTTATCTTTTTCATTCACCCTTTATTTACCCGGTTGGGTTGGCAAAACGGGAAAAATATTCACATCCAAGGAAAGCAAAGCAAGTCAACATTAATTATGAGCATCCCAAAGAGGGATAAAACACAAGATTCATACTCATTATATTCCTCCAAGGAACACAGTTCAGGTTGGGCTCTGACGAGTTTTGTAGCTTAGTCAAGTCATAGCTGGTACCAGATTTAGAGAGCTAGAAAATCTAAGAAAGTCATCAAAGTAGAAAAATTCTCTAGTTGATTTTTTAATTAAATATTCACAGTGTGAAATGTAAAGATAGAAAATCTGTTGATGCATTTTATCATCAGATTCTGGACTTGAAATGTAATATCTCATAGAGTTTCTCTCCTCTTTGAAAAGTGTAAGAAAAGCAGGAATATAATGCTAATAATGGCAAACAGAATTATGGAACTGGCTCCATACAGGGAGTTCTTATGACAGAGCTTTTGTGATCACTAACCATCCAAATATATTTGCATGGTCTTAATTCAAAATTCAGCAACCACTAGATTTATTCATAAGTCCAATTTCTCTCCTTCAGAGAGTAATTTGTTCAGGACTGGAAGAGCTCATAGCCAATAATATGCATAGAGATTCTACCATATTTTTCCATTTTTTTCTGTCTACTCTTAATTTCCACTTCTCCCCTTATTAATTTCTTCATTCTTCCATCCCCTCTATTCCCTTTGAAACATTTATGGTAAAAATAGACCAGAAACGTTATATATAATGTTTAAAAAAATCAAACCTCTTCTAAAAGTAGTCACTCAACAAATATAAGATGTCAAGAAAATAGAAAATATAAAACTTACCAATTTAGTTGAATGAAGTAGTACTCTCTGCCTCTTCAACCACAACCTCTGAGTGTTTGGGATGAACAAGATCTTAAAAATGAGGTATTTTTATTTTACATATATTTTGTAAATTTCATCTTTTGTGCAATTATACTGGCCACCAAGAAACCATTTATTTTAGGAATGTATTACTCTGGTGTTTGGTATACAAGTAAAAAAATGATCAAAAATTTTAAATAATCTCGATCTGTCACTGATTAAATTAATTACGTTAACGAGAATAGCCTAAAGATATATCTCTGCTACAATTGCTCTGGTAAATAGCATATTTACAATATCTTAGAATACTGTCTTATTCTTATCTTAGTCCATATCCACAATTCCTTATTGGAAATTTTAAAATGATAAAAACAGAAATGTTTTCTCTAAGTGTATAGCAAACTCATTTAGCAGTAAAACCTTAATGAACTGATGTAAGAATATTTATGTCTTTATCCCAACTAGTGTGATTACTTCATAGGTTTTGTTGCAGAAATACTGATAGTTTGGATTAAGAGGTGCTGCATCAGAGCTCTCATGGTGTTAACTGCAAACTTCCTTATTCCTGAACAGATCTGGCCCCATGAGTTCCAGGAAGTGGTGATAGATCTAGTTATCTCCAGAGAAGAAACTTTCTTGATAACTCAGAAGCATTTAAAAATCTAGGTGTATTCAGTTCTTAATTGGAAACACGAATTCTTCTAAAGATGCTGATGTGGAATATGGGGAAATTTGGAATGCTTCTGTTCTGATACTTTGATATATCTTAGATATTTCTTTTTTAGGGGTGAGGGGAATGAACTAATTCCTTAAATAGCGTCATGAAATTTCCTTGCCTTCTGTTGCTCATTAAAGCATAGAAAAACATTGCTAATTGAAGGACAAAATAATTAGATTTTGGTTAACGAAGCATTTACTTCACAGAAAACTTCTATTCTCCAGAAATGCTCCTAGTTCTTTTGGTATTTCACAGGTGTGATGGGGGAATATGAACCAAAGATTGAAGTGCGTTTTCCTGAAACTATACAAGCTGCAAAGGATACATCTGTAAAACTGGAATGCTTTGCCCTTGGAAAGTAAGGTGTTTTTTTTTTCTGGGTTGTTTTAATTAAAAAAACCTTTTTGTTATTCAAATATTGCTCTACAATAAATTACCAAATAGATTTCAAAGGCTACGCAAAAATGGAACTTTCTGATTGGAATTTAAATAGACATGCCTAATACTCGGAAAATGATTGGTGCTGCGATTCTCCCCTAAATGTGCTGATATTTCCTCATTTGAGCATAATGAGACCCATTTAAGCAGCATATTGCAGAAGAACAAGTGCACTTGTCTAAGATGGTGGGCAAGTCACTAAACCTTCGACATATCCTTCATTCCATCTCATCCTACATCCAGAAATATATTGCCTAGAGTGTCCCCTTGCTTAATTAATCAGCAATTCTTGTAAATGAAAAAGCTGTACTGCTAGTTTCCAAAATAAGACTAATTAAAGACCATTGTTCATAGTGGATAATTAGAATTGAGCCAAACCTGCCCTGGTAGTGGAGACATGTTGTTTTACTCAGATAAGTGTCTATCAGTGACAGGTTTGGAATATTTTTACGCCAGTTAAATATCTGCATTTTTGCATAGAATAGCCAAACATCTCTTTTCCTTTTGGTGATATTCAAACTTCATTTTTATGCCTATAAACACCAGTACCCAAATAACAAAGAGACGAATAGACTAAATTGGCCATTTTTAAACATTAGTGTGCATATGAGTTACCTGGGCACATGGTTAAACTGAGATTCTGTAGGTCTGGGGTGAGGTCTGATATCTCCATTTCTAGCAGGCTCCCAGGTAATAGTGATTCTTGGGGTCTATAGAACATACTTTGAATAATAAGACACTTGACTCTTACTATCAGCTTTATGGGCTTACTTCTAAATCCAAAGTCTATTCCTAATGAGGTCATCACATTTAGAAATAATGATTTACATTCCAAACTATGGAAAACATCCCTAAAAGTCTCCATCTTGTTATTAAGTAAATATATCAAGCAATCCAAATAATGCCAGTTCCTAAATCTTTTAGGTTCCTTTCTATATATGAAATGTTGTAGATCTTTAAATTAAATTTCTCAGGTTATTTATTTTTCGTGTATTTAAGACACCATATTTTATTTTCATACAGTACTGGTCCCATAGTATTTGTCCAATAAATAATTATTGATTGATTAAACTATCCTTAAGAAAGTGACAAGCAGGGACTTTATGCCTGCCTTTTAAGATATGATGAATTTTCACATTTTCAAGCTTTCTAAGAAATTAAAGTTTACAAGAAAACATAAAATGTTTGTCAGCAAAGTACTTTGAGAATTAGATGGTTTATTTAAAAAAAGACCAATGAAAGGTAGCATCTGAAAAGAATATTAATAGCTTATTCTATCACATTTGGCATCAGGAAATACGGATTCCTGTAACTTAAAAAATACTCTTACATAATAAATAACTTTGAAAATTATTGATGCTAGTTCTCAAGAATTTCACATAAATAAATTTCATTTGTTAGGCATTTATAACTAAGAATTTCTATGATATATACAATCTTTATAATTATGCAGGGTACATCATATTTTTATTATATATGAGAAAACTGAGGCTCAGATTGGATAAGTAACCTGTTTGATTTCATGCTTCTGTTAAAAAGGTGAGGACGATTCAAACATAGTGCCACCTGCTTTTAAGTTCTGAACTTAGAAACTTTTAAGGAAATGGTTAAGATAACCATTCTTGAAGTCAATGGAGGCAGATTCAATTCCTAATTTTTCTCAAGAGTTGTCTGACCGTTAGCAAACATGCTTCTTAACCTCTATGAATTTCCATCTTCTCCTGCAAAGGAGTTATAATGATACCTGCCTTTTGTATTTGTTTTGAAGATTAGAACGGATAACACATGTAAAAAACACTTAGCACCAGGCCTGCCATTTAGACAGGAAATGTTCATTGAATTATTCTGAACCCAAAGTGCAAATTCCATTCTCTTTTTATATAACCAGTGTTTGAGTTAGTGGGGATGGTCAAACTAGAAAAAGTTTTCTTAGAGTCTGTAAATTCTCATATCTCCCCAGCCCATACCTTTTCTCTCTGCCTCAATATTGATGATAGTACAAGAGAGAAAGCAGCAAACAGGGTCAGTTCTGAAGTAGAAAAGAGGAGCAGTCGAGGAGAAAACTTAGTTGATCAATTGAGGCTCTGAATTGCTTACATATCAGGTTTCTTAATTTTATTTATTTCAATATTTTATTTCTAAAAAAGTCAAACCTACAGAAACATTGAAAGAGTAATACCTGGACAATCATATCAATATTATACCCCTGACATGTACTGACCAACCATAAATCTTTGCCACATTCCCCTCTCTTTCTCTGTCTCTCTCCACACACACACACGCGCACACGCACACACACACCCCATGCATTAAAATGGATGGGTGATAAGTAGTAACTTAGCTTGCATGTTAGGGGGTATATTTATGCACCCATAATATTGCCGCAGATCTGCATCCCCTTTTCAGCCCAGCGTGCTATAAAATTGAGAGGTGAAAGAAAGGAAAAAGGCAAGAGTCAGGAAATTTCGACCATCCCATTTAGAGTTCACCATTTGACTTCACTATTTTGATCTGGTCCTGGGTACATGCTATAAGAATTCACTGGAAATATTCAGAAGTGGATTAACAATCCTAACAGGACAAGTGGAGCTTTAGAATATATGAGGTCTTGTTGAGAAATCTCAAATGAAGAATTTAAAAATAAATAAAACCATCTCATTTTTTATTAACCTCGTGGTAATGGAAACAATCAGTACATTAAAAACTGACAACCAATAAAACTACATACAGTAAAATTTATTATCTTAAAAATGTGTGGGAGTACCTAAACTTCTTGATAAAATTTGGATTAGCAATATTTGACCCAGGAAAATTTGAGTTGGAAAAATAGTAGTTAAAAAAAGCCTCTCAAAATGGCAAATCTGATGTGTATGTACAAAAAAACTGATTAATAAATTATATGTTCATTGTTAAGTTTGTACATAAGAGAACTGTTGCACATGAAATAAAATTAAAGAAGAATGGGAAAATGATGAGAATTACTTAACTGCACTTCATAGAAAATTGTCAAGGAAATAATTGGTTTAATGGAGTATATTCATAACATGTTATCTGACAAAATTAATCAGTGTTGAGATTATGTTTATTAAGTTATTAACATGAAATTGAAATTCCTTGGGGTTAAAATGGAAAGTCCAAAGCATCCACTGGGTCAAAGCGATAGTGTTAAAATGCCCTGTATTAGAAACATATATTTTGTGTCACTGGAATGTAGATACACTTCTCATTTCTTCAAATGAACAAAATGTATGTGAAAATGCTTTGTATACTTTGGAAAATATTATAGAAATGTGCGCTACCAACAAAAAGAGTTTTTATATATACTTGCCAATAGCTTCTAGAAAACAAATTGTGTTGTTGTTGAAACATCATAAACATACTGAAAATGCTTTTTAGTCCATTATAAAATTTGACATTTCCAAATACTATACTGACTCTTCTAAATTTGCAAAAAAACATAAAAAAAACACACTCTTTAGAAAATAATTATGTGATAGTCATAATTAACAATCTGAAAATAACAATATCAAAACTTCTTGTTTTTTAAATTATAACTATATTTGTAGGTTTATTGCCAAGTGTTTTTATAAACTCTATGAATGATAATTATAAATCATGCTCTCTGACATCTCTTCATAAGAATATTGCTGTGCAGCATTTGAGTTTAGTAATGTTTTTTCCAATATGGAGACTGCTTTGTGCAAATCCGTTTAAATCTCCTTGTTCACTTTCTGAAGAACTGCACTCCTTTGCAAGATGTTCAATAAATGCAAAACTGAGGAAAACTAATTGATTCAAGAAGGAATGAAATCAAAGTTCTTTTTCTTATTAACAATGTTTCTAAACACTTTTGCTCACATACTACTGACCACTCTTTCTGTTATAAACTACATCTTCATTATACCGGGGTTTATCTATTTTGATAAATAAGAGAGAGAAAGGGAGGAAATCAATAGGTGAACAGGTGGATAGGAAGGAGAAAAAACGACAGGTTAATGCCACATCTTATTCCTATTAAGTTTTTCATTCTTAGGACCTAAGACAGTTCCTGAAATACTGACTGGTTTCCATTAAACATTTGTGGAATGTAGCACATACATACCTGTATAATGAGGAAACATCCTCCTTTATGCCTGGGAATAGCCCTTCTCTTAAATGTGTAGATTATTTTGGTACTTATCTTGCTTGATGTTCCCTGAGCTTCCAGGGTGTATGGTTTGGTAGCTGTCATTAATTGTGGAAAATTCCCAGTCATTATTACTTCAAATATTTCCTCTGTTCGTTCCTCTCTTTTTTCTCCTTCTGGTATTCCCGTTAGACATCTGTTGCACCATTTGTAATTGCCCCCAGTTCTTGGATATTCTGTTCTTTTTGTTTGTTTGTTTTTATTCTTTTTTCTCTTCTCGTTTTAGTTTAGGAAGTTTCTATTGATATTTCTTCTAGTTCACTTATTCTTTCTTCAACCATGTTCAGTCCACCGGTGGGCCTATACGGGCATCTGATTTTTCCTACAATGTTTTTTATTTCTA